TCTCTTGATTTGGTTTCTGAAAATGGTACCCAGAACATTGTGTGGAAGAACATAAAAGATTCCTATCAAGAATTTTATTTAAAAGATTAGGGAAATACGCTCATTCTGCTTTTTCAACTATTTGCAATGAGTTCAGTAACAGGCTGGCTACCCAGTATTTAGAGTGCTATTATTTGTCCTAAAATTACTTGTTCCAGAATTACCTGCCTCAGGAGGTACGTATAACATCTGGAATGTGATAAACATAGTTTAAAGTCTTCTCATCTTTGATTAATGTGTCCTGTGAACATTTGTTGAGTTTTATTTCAGGTAGAAGATTCCCAGTCCTCTTTTGATAGCCTTTCCTCCCTTCATCCCTGTGTGCATTCTTGCCTGTCTTGTGCTTTGGGGAAGGGTAATTGTCAGGGAGAATTGCGTGGCAGCTTAGTGTCAGGGTTACAGAGGACATGTCTGGAGTCCTGTGGGCCCAGGTTCCTATCCTGATTGCCACTTGCTACTTATGTGACCCTGTAAAAGGTGCTTTTAGAGCCTCAGTGTCCTTGCCTGCAAAGTGGAGATAACATCTCTCTCACAGGATTGTAGTGAAAAGAACTAGTATATGGAAAAGCACAGTGCCTAGTTTATGTTAAGTGCTGAATAAATCAAAGCTCTCATCTATTGTCTGTAGCTATAGCATTGGTAAACATAGCATTAGCTCAGGAATAGGAACACTTAAATTCTAATTCAATCTAGATTTGGGGATTTCAATAACAATTTCAATAAGAATTTGGATTCCATTTTCTCACTTGTAATCTGAGGGCTTGGATTAGGTCAGTGGTTTTCAAACTGTGATCTCTGGAGGTGCTTTGAGGTCACTGGCGGGGAAGGGGAACAGTGAGAGGTGTCTCAGAGGGAGGGCTTCCTGTTCAGCCAGAGCGACTGTGCTTCTATTTATTTGATATATCAGGATTCTTTGTAACCTTTTACTCAAAGAAGCTGTTCCTTGGCAGAACACACAAACACACACACACACACACATACACACACTCACTCACTCACACATCCTTTTTTAAAATAACAGACTTAAAAGTCTACTCAGGTCCCATCCAAGTCTAAAATTCTTTATGTCTGTTAGTTCACAATGGAACTTGAACATTAGTGGCCCACGTGGATCTGAGCCGAAGACAGTTTGTCCTGTACATTAAAGTAGAAAAGTTGTAAATTTGGAGATTTCACATCCAAATCCAGATGCTGTTTTCTTATGAGAAATTGAAATACCTAATGGCTCTGTGCTCACATTCCCAAATCTCAGTCCACTACCGTTGAGTAGCAGCCGCTTGCCAGCTACTGCCGCCTTGTACCCCTTTGCATGTACCTGCCTGGCCACTGAAGGTATTTGAGTTTTCAGCGTCTGATTTGCCCCTTTAGATGGCGTGAATATCAACATTACTGAATTAACCAAATGTTGGCACTCTAGAAGAATTAAAGAGAATGTGACTTACTACGTTTGGCCCATAAGAAAATTGTTTTAATATAGCAAAAAATTACCCTTCCCCAAAGCACAAGACAGGCAAGAATGCCCACTGGGATGAGGGGGGGAAGAGGCTTTCAAAAGAGGATTGGGAATCGTCTACATGAAATATACATGGAATGGTGAGAGGCAGAGGCCAGGTTGGTGGCAGTGGAGTAAGAGAAAGAGTGGTAGGAAATGAAACTGGAGACATAGCAAAGGGCCAGGAAACTTAAGGCCTTATAGGACTTGGTAAGGAGATTGAAATTTTTTTCTATTTTTTTTTTAAGTGTAATCAGTTTACAGTGTTGTGTCAATTTGTGGTGTACAGCACGATGTCCCAGTCGTACGTATACACACATATATTCCTTTTCATATTCTCTTTCGTGGTAGGTTACTAGAAGACATTGAATATAGTTGCCTGTGCTATGCAGTGTAAGCTTGTTGTTTATTTCTATTGGGGTCTTTTGAATAAGGACAGACTTGCATTTTAAAGAGTCACATTGGTGGGAGTATGGATTGGTACAGAAAGTGACTGCAAGATTAGCAAGAGTGGTGAGTAGTGAGACCTGTTAGGAGCCGCTTTCACTAAGTCTAGGTGAAAGATGTACTTGGCTTAGAAGTAATAACTTAATGACAGTGAGAAATGGTCACATTTAAAACATATTTTGAAGGGACAGCCAATAGGATTTGCTGCTGGGCTGGATATAGGGTGAGAGAAAGAGAGGAGTAGAGGATGAATCTGTAGATTCTTGGCCCAGGTAACATGGTGAGTGGTGGCACCACCGTACTGAGATCCGGGACACTAAGGGAGTGTCTGGGGGACAGAGTGAGTGGGTTTGAGTTGTGTTTTGCACATGCTGGGTTTGAGATACATGTTGACAGACAAGTGGAGTTGTCCAAGAGACAGATGGTCATTCAAGTCTAGGGTTCATCGGAGAGAGGAAGGCCAGAAGTAAATTTGTGAGTCATTCACGTATAGTTGATATTTATTTAATACCATGGTTCCAGATGAGTTTCTCCTGAGTAGTGGGTGTATACATAAGAAGGTCTGAGGATTGAGCCTTGGAGCTCTTCAGTGTTTAGAACTGGGAAATGAAAGAAATCAGAAAAGGAACAGACAGTGAGATTGGTAGAAATTCAGGAAAATTCATTTTCTAGAAGCCACCTGAAAAAAGCGTCTTAGGAGGAGGGCACGGTCCACTGTGTCGAATGTTGTCCAGAGTTGAGTAGGATGAGGACTTAGAATTGACCATTGGATTTGACAATGTGAAGTTTATTGGCAACTCTGATAAGCAGTTTCATTGAAGGGTGGAGACAAAACCTGATTGCTCAGTAAACTAAGAGCAAAAGCATCAACTGAGAAGATGAGGTGTGGAATTGGGGGTTTGAAAAAAGAGGAGAGTGTGAGAAAGATCTCTGCAAAAGAGAGCTAATTGAAGTTTTTGCTCAGGACTGTTTTAGTAGCAGAATTGCAGTATGCTGTTAACCTTTTCAGTTTGGAAACTAGTGCCCTAGTACCCTTCTGTTCTAAGAAATGTTGTTAATTTGTTTATTTGATTATTACTCCCATTCCCACCTCCCTAGTTTCTTTCTGGAAGTCCTTCAATCAGGAGCTGGACTCTGGGACTGACCCTGTCCATCTCTTCCTTCAGCTTTATCTTCCTGTCCTTCTATAGAGTTGTTCATTTTAGTTATCTTATTTTTAATTTTCCATAGAATCTTATTTTTTTTAATGGATGCAGTAGCTTCTCATTTAAGTTATTAAGGTTTTTGTTTGTTTTGTGATTTGTTCTGCTTTCCTCTATTTCCTGCATAGTCTGTTTTCTCCAAGTTTCCTTTCATCTGCTTCCTTATTTTGATCTCTGTCTTTCGCGATGCTTTCTTCAAGTGCCCAGTGATCCTTGGCTGCCCATTTATATTTGCATGGGACACTGAAGAGCTCTGTGTGCATGAATGGGGCTGGTGGGCTTCATAGTAAGGTGAGCTCAAGGTCAACTTGCTTTTTCATTGTCAACGAGTAGAGGTCTTTTCTCCAAGAATGTGGAGTTTTGTTCAGAGACTGGGGATGGTGGGTGTATGCCTGTTTGCCAACCTTTTGGGAACAAAGCAGGAAATGAAGGTGAGTACTTCCTGTTTCTGTAGGTGGACTGTTTATTCAGCCTCCCTCTCTTCACTTTGCATTGTACTTCTTCCCTGCTCTGTGCTGATATGTAAGTGCAGAACATCTCTCCTGGAAACAAGCCTGGTAGAAAGAACACGATGGTCATCTGACTGCCTGGGGCGGGGGTGGGGGGCTGACATAGTGAGGAACTAATTTGTAAACATTCCTCCAATTTTAGTTTTTTATGCCACTCGGTGCTTCAAAGAACTGAGCCTCAGATTCTTTGGGGCAAATCAGCTCATTCTCAGGTGAACTGCTCTGCTCCTACTTTGCCCTGTTAAGTCACTTATCACTCCTCTAATAGCTTTCTGTTGCTCAGTTTTAGGCTTTCTATTTTGTCGTTTTGTTTCACTTGTTCTTTGGAAAACTCAGGTATGCAAATGTAGTCTCTCCTGTTCACTTACTGGTGGATTATTACCTTTTCCCCCTTTATTGTCATGTTAATAAGGAAGCAAAGAGGAAGGAAAGGAGATAAACTTATGTGGTCAACTACACTGTTTTTCTGGAACCTATCCACACTCAAAAGGGTAATCATCACGATAACTAACATTTATTGAGTACTTAGCTATGTGCCAGACACTGTTCTAAATGCTTTACATTTATTAACTTACCGTTCATAACGATCTTGTGAGACAGGTACTTTTATTATTACCATTTTATGGATGAAAAAACTAAGACACCAAGAATTTAAGTAACTTGCAAGAGTTATAAAGCCAGTAGGTGTGGAGCTTGCGTTCAGACTCAGCTGTCAGACTGTAGAGATACCTGCTTAAAATTCTCCCATAATAGCCCATTCCTTTTTTTTGAGATCCAAGCAATTTAGCATGTCATTCGTGCTCTCCGTGATCAGGTCCAGTGAACCTCTCCAGTCTCATCTCTCTCCAGTGTCCTTGACGTCACCTCTTGGACCTTACATTCTAGTCAGACTGAACTTATTGCCCTAAATGCACCATGGTCTCATGATCCTCATGCCTTTATCATGCTGTTCCACCCCACACATTCTTTTATTTCTCCAGAATGCTCAGGATAGTGTTAAGTTATTTCAGCATATACTTATAAATTGACTATTTGTGTAACCTGTTTCACCTAGCAGTCAACTCATGCTTTTGATTTGACATAGCGTGCCTTCTTGAAAAATGCATAATTGAATAAAATAGTATTCCATTATATATGAAGGGTTTTTGTGTCTAACTGAACAAAATTATCTCCTCAAAATTTGTATTGAACATGATATTTAAAGATGCTTTTGGAGTATAAGTGAAAAAGTATACACTTCAAACAGTAAATATTTCATTCATTTGTTATGTCACAATGTTTTCTAACCTATCTTGCTGTTTTTCTTAATAGCTTTTTCTTCCTCTTGCAAATCTGGAATGTTCCCCAAATGTTGAAACTTTCCTTTGCAAAGCTTTTGTACCAACCTGCACAGACCAAATTGATGTGGTTCCACCCTGTCGTAAATTTTGTGAGAAAGTATATTCTGATTGCAAAAAATTAATGGATACTTTTGAGATCCAATGGCCTGAAGAACTTGAATGTGACAGGTAAATTGTGTTTTCAACTGAAGCTACTATAATATTTTAATATTGATGTTAGTTTTCCAGAATGTTAATGACAGGCTTTCATTATTTAATTCAATACATGTTTATTGCACACTTAATATATGTTAAGCACTTAATATATATATCAACACTGTACACAATGGTGAGCAAAACCAGACTTGGTTCTTGTTCTCAGGAAGCTTACAGTGGGGTGGAAGGAATAGAGAGTAATCAAGTAGTCACAAAAATGAACGCAAAATTACTACCATGCTAACACAGCAAAGGAGAGCATGTAATTCTATGAGAATGTGTGATGGTACCTTTGCCCTAAACTGGGGAGAAGTGGACCTTATTATCAATTCACTGACCTTTTTGCCCATTAGTCTTAGTTAATTACTTTTATCTCCTATCCTTTAGGTGTTGGGAGCTTGTGACTTGAAATAGTCTACTGATAGAATGATACCTCATGTAATAAATCTGGGAAGGAAAGTGGCTTCCTTTTTGTTTTTTTGTCTGTAGACCTTTGTGGAACCCACACACTTCTGGTAGCTGCATAATCACTTTCCAGAACAACATCAGAAATCACTTAAAAATTATTAATTGATTAATTGTCTTCCAAGTAAGGAAGTTTTCATGTTCACTTGCCTGATATTTAATATGTATGTCAGTGTTTTGGGCCCTTATTAACAATTACAAGTTTTTAGTCAACTTCAAATCTTTCTACCTAAATCTAACCTATAATCTGTTTAAGTTGTATGTCTTCCCATCAGTTATGAAAGCATAACAAAATATTTTATAGTTGGAAAGCATAGCATTAAAATAGTGACTCAATAAAAATGTTCACTTTGTGTTTTTAATTTTTAAAATCTTTACAGATTGCAATACTGTGATGAGACTGTTCCTGAGATTTTTGATCCACACACAGAGTTTCTTGATCCTCAGAAGGAAACAGAACAAGTCCAAAGAGACATTGGATTTTGGTGTCCAAGGCATCTTAAGACTTCTGGGGGACAAGGCTATAAGTTCCTGGGAATTGAGCAGTGTGCACCTCCATGCCCCAACATGTATTTTAAAAGTGATGAGCTAGAGTTTGCAAAAAGCTTTATTGGAATAGTTTCAATATTTTGTCTTTGTGCAACTCTGTTCACATTCCTTACTTTTTTAATTGATGTGAGAAGATTCAGATACCCAGAGAGACCAATTATATATTACTCCGTCTGTTACAGCATTGTATCTCTTATGTACTTCATAGGATTCCTCCTAGGCAACAGCACAGCCTGCAATAAGGCAGATGAGAAGCTAGAACTTGGTAACACAGTTGTTCTAGGCTCTCAGAATAAGGCTTGCACCATTTTGTTTATGTTTTTGTATTTTTTCACAATGGCTGGCACTGTGTGGTGGGTGATTCTTACCATTACTTGGTTCTTAGCTGCTGGGAGAAAATGGAGTTGTGAAGCCATTGAGCAAAAAGCAGTGTGGTTTCACGCTGTTGCGTGGGGAATACCAGGTTTTCTGACCATTATGCTTCTTGCCATGAACAAAGTTGAAGGGGACAATATCAGTGGAGTGTGCTTTGTTGGCCTTTATGACCTGGATGCTTCTCGCTACTTTGTGCTCTTGCCACTGTGTCTTTGTGTGTTTGTCGGGCTGTCTCTTCTTTTAGCTGGCATTATTTCTTTAAATCATGTTCGACAAGTTATACAACATGATGGCCGGAACCAAGAGAAACTAAAGAAATTTATGATTCGAATTGGAGTCTTTAGTGGCCTGTATCTTGTGCCATTGGTGACACTTCTTGGATGTTACGTCTATGAGCAAGTGAACAGGATTACCTGGGAGATAACATGGGTCTCTGATCATTGTCGTCAGTACCATATCCCATGTCCCTATCAGGTAAAAGCTATCATTTGTATTATTTCACTATTTAATTTTAACAAAGAAAATGTTCCCTGGAATTATCTTTGAAATAGTCATGAACATGAAATCGGATTTCAATCAGAAAATCCAACAGTCAGAGGGAATTATTCCCTGTGGTAGTTGAAACTGCTGGGGTAAGTGTAAGAACTCAAGAGTTCTTTCCTTGAGTTTTAGCTTCAGTTAAAATAGTAAAGTGCCTCCTTTAGCTATTCTTTTAAAAATTAAGTTGGATTGCAAAAGCTGATTAATAGTGATGAAAACAGGGTCAGAAGAACAGGTCTTGTCATGGGGAGGAAAAGAGAACTTCTGAGCTGGGAGTTGTTTTTAATTCGTTGATAGGGGAAACCCTTATTTGAATACATTTAATCTGATCATATCATCTTATGTTTTGCATGAATATGCTTATAAAAACAGAGCTTAGTTTTTGCCTAAACCATCCTGTCATTTCTTATGAAAAAAGCACAATTGAAACAAAAGATGTTTCATGTTTCTGATGCTTCTGATTGGATAAAGGTAGTCTTAAGGTTAAAAAATAGAAAATCTCTTAAAGCATTTTAGCTGAGGTTTTTGAATAGATTTTATATGTTTTTCTTGAATATTTATGTATGATATTAACTAATTATATTGAATGTGAGTGCTGTCATCACGGTGTATCAAATCAAGCAATGTGTGAGCTGAATTATTTTACATACTAATTTATATTCTAGAAAGTTACTGCGTTATAACACAGTGGAATGTATTTTACATACTGATGTATGGGGATAATGGTTTTACTTGCCTTACATCCTGTCCACAGTCCAATATCCATCGTCTGTTTTCACTATATACCTAATGAAGGAGCTGTCTTAAAGTAATCCTGCTATATAAATGTGTCCTAGATTCCTCAGTATTTTTGGCAAACTAGGGAGGAAAATCAACTATTATATACTGCTAAAAAGTTTAAGGTATGTGATTTTTTTAGGATTATGTTTCATGTATAGAAAGAAACCATATTAGAAGATAAAATGAGGAAATTCTAATCTTAAAGTGGGGAAGGACTTTATGATATAAAATTCAGAAAGAAAAGAAAATATATAAAAGAAAAAGTTGCTAAATCTGACATAGGAAAAGAAAATTTTTTTTTCAGATTCTGCATGGCAAAAAATAACCCCACCATAAATAAATTCAGGAGACCAAATGGGAAAATTTATTAACATATCACATTATAGTTAAAGGGCTAATTTCCTTATTTATTTATAAAGAGTTCCTATAGATCAATAAGAAAAAAAACCAACAATCTGATATAAAAATGAGAAAAGAATAATATGTAGAGGGGTCACAGAAAAGGAAATTAAAAAGCTACTCTTAAACATATGAAAAATGTTATAAGAAATTACAAATTAAAATTATAATCAAGTTGTATTTCAGTTTATGACATGGCAAACATCTAAAAGTGTTATAACCACTGTATTGATGAAACGGACAAAATACATGTTCCATGGTTTGCTGTTCAGTTAGTTCAACCTTTTGTAGAATGCATTTTGATACTATCTATTATTTAAAATGCACATACTCTTTAATCCTCCCCTTCTGGTAATTTATCAACAGATCAGCTCACAGATGTGGGAAATTACATACACAAAGATAGTTGCTACAACGTTATTTGTAATGGCAGTAGGTTGGAAATCACCTAAATATCTGTTAGTAGAGGTAGCTGGATAAATTATGGTTCATCCACACAATGGAACAGCCTTTAAGAAGTATGAGGTACTCTACTTATATTGATATAGAATGGTGTCCAAGAAATATTAGTAAGTGCAAAAATCAAGATATAGTGCAGAATATATAGTATTTTGACACTTGTCTGACATTTAAAAAATATTTGAAAGTTGATGCTTGAAAGAAAAGTATGATTTAAATTTTACAAAATTTCCACATTTTTACATTTTAGTGATACTTATTTTGCTCTAACCAAGGTTTTTTTTTGTATTTTTTTATTGAAGTATAATCAGTTTACAATGCTGTGTCAATTTGTTTACAGCATTATATTTCAGTCATACATGAACATACATGTATTTGTTTTCATATTCTTTTTCATCATAAGTGACTACAAGATATTGAACATAGTTCCCTGTGTATACAGTATAAACTTGTTGTTTATCTATTTTATATATATATTGATTAGTATCTGCAAATCTCAAACTCCCATTTTATCCCTTCCCACCCCCTTATCCAAGTTTTTATAACATAAACATCAGCAATGCATAAAGACTCTAAAATAGTATGTTGTTATAATAAATTTAAATGTATTTTTTGTAGATTATAGTGAAGGAAAATAGATAAATATTGAGAGGCAAATATTTTGGCAATTATAAGAGGCTGCTGTACTTAGAGGGAAAAAAATGCCAGGAATCAAGCCAAGATGTAAGACTTCCTTCCTAAATATATTTAATAAGTGTTTTTATTTCTAACTATACATTTTGATAAAAGTTCTTTGTTCGCAACTTCTGTAAAGAATGTATTACACTTAAAGCACTATTCATTATGTTACATCAAACATTTTACAATAAAACAGACTAAAGATTTATACTTTTTGTTCAGGTTTTACATTGACTATATAGACCTCTCTCAACTTTAAATGTATCACTGACATTTTTATTATTTATTATTTTTAGGCAAAAACAGAAACTCGACCAGAATTGGCTTTGTTTATGATAAAATACCTGATGACATTAATTGTTGGCATCTCTGCCGTCTTCTGGGTTGGAAGCAAAAAGACATGCACAGAGTGGGCTGGGTTTTTTAAGCGAAATCGCAAGAAAGAGTAAGAATCTATTGAATTATCTGACATGGTTTTAAAATTAATAGTCAAATATCAAGAAACTATTCATATCATTGTACTAGAGTTTCATTATGTCAGTTTCAAGTTTGGAAATCTTTTTCATCGAGAGAGATACTTTATTTTAGCATGTTATAATAGTCTGACATACACTATTCTATTGAAATACGAATGAAAGATTTGTAAAATGTGCATTTTGTTTCCATGGCTTATAACATATCCAATATGATTACTGTTATCATTGGATTTATTATTTTGGGTGCAGCATTTTTAATAATTTTATCCTTTTTTATCAATGATAAAGGATGAAGTGGGTCAAATATATGTAAAGAAATCTATAGAGTGTGATTCAAATGTGATGTATCATCATTATCTTTAAGTTTTAGTACATATAGTGCTGACTTTACATGTCACTATTTGCCCTAAGATAGTAAAAATCCAATCTTACGGAATATTCTGTAACAGCATAGTAGATTTACATTGATGAGTAAACAGTTTATTTTAGTTATTTATATCCATTATATATTGGGTACTATCAACAATGTATCATAGAATTTTTCAAAGTGTTCCCAGTTGGTTTGATTAATGAACTTTTTTTGTGGTAAAAATTTTAGGACTATAGACCATTTCACAAATAAGTTTTTGAAGTCAGAAGAATTGGACTTTAACTGGACTTTAATTTTTTGAACTATTAGTTCATTAGTTCATTTAGAACTATTAGTCTAGCCCATATTTATATACCCACACTAATTTCAAAATAACTTGTTACAACTTTAATGTTAGAAAGAAAACAAATTTGAACAAAGACCATTAATTATATTCTATGTTCTTTCTTTCTGATTTACTTTCATATTCAATATATTTATATGAGAAACATATAGATAGTCCCCTACTCTATGCTGGTTTGAATTTTCTTGCCCTCATCCTTCGATTTTGCCTGTTTAATTTCTTACTGGTCTTTTATTTATCCTGACAAGAGCAGTTAACAGTGTATGCACAAAAGATTTCACTTCGTAGCAATCTACCTATATCTCATAGTATTTATAATTCCAGAATTTATAAACAATGTAAATTATATAGGATCTAACTTTAACATATAAAGATTTTTGGCACAAGACCTATGATATGCTTTATAGATTCTGTTATAACACTCAACATTTATCAAGTAAATTCTCTTCTTGGATTTTCTTACAGTCCAATCAGTGAAAGTCGAAGAGTACTACAGGAGTCATGTGAGTTTTTCTTAAAGCACAATTCTAAAGTTAAACACAAAAAGAAGCACCACAAACCAAGTTCACATAAGCTGAAGGTCATTTCCAAATCCATGGGAACCAGCACGGGAGCTACAGCCAATCACGGCACTTCTGCAGTAGCAATCACTAATCATGACTACTTAGGACAAGAAACTTTAACAGAAATACAAACCTCACCAGAAACGTCAGTGAGAGAGGTGAGAGCAGATGGAGCCAGCACCCCCAAATTAAGGGAACAGGACCA